CCGGCGGACGGTCGTACTTGACGAGTCTGTTTCTAACGGTGAGCGAACGATAAGTCGTAACGCACAAATGTATATATATATACCAAGAGGCAATCCGTTGGACACGATTCGTATGCAAACAGATTCACTGCAAGCTAATAAATTAAACGCGATAATATAATTTCACTAGTCCGATTCCGACCTCCAAGCCTGATTAGTTATAAATAAGTGCAATATCGTTGTGCGACTCCAAGATGAAATACAGTCGCCGTGTGAACATGGTTCCGATCTCGCCGCCGCCTAATGATATCACAAAAATCAATAACATCTAGAGAATAGCAATTTTGAGTGAAAAATAACGTTTTGTAATTTTTCAAAATTATTCCAATTTAATGAAGGAAATCTTTTAAAACAGATGTGATATCCCCCATTCATAAAGATGAAGATAAATCTATCGTAAATAACTATAGACCGATTAGTCTTCTAAATGTTTTCTCTAAAATATTCGAAAAGATTATAAAAAAAAAGACTATTAGCATACCTAGAAGAAAACTTTATTCTACCAAAAACACAATATGGCTTCAGAGAAAACTTAGGTACAGAAGATGCACTAGCTCAACTCTCCAAAGACATATTGTATATACAAACCTAGAACAAAAAAATAAAACTCTAAGTATATTTATGGACCTAAGTAAAGCGTTTGATAGCGTCTCGCATAAGAAATTATTATACACCCTTCAAGCAATAGGTATAAATAACAAACCCCACAAACTTTTTGAACCCTATCTAAATAATAAAAAATAACAAATACACATTTGTAATACCCTAAGTTATAAACTTGTGTTATTAAAGACACGTAATGTCTTATATTTCACATACAAGCTAAATTTGATAGATTTCAAACAAATCACACATTATACGCGTCACAATAAGAAGTTAATTATACCCACAATTAAAACATTAAAATCTAGTAGATATTTCGTTAAAGTAGGTTAAAACTATTAAACAATATTCCACTTGATATTTTAAACTGTAAATCTTGTACCAAATACAAACTACTAATTAAAATATTGTTATCAAATTTACAAGTCAAAATATAATTCTATCTTATATATTTTCTTTTTTCTCATAAAAATAAGGCATTATCTGTATTATGTAATGTTATATGTATTACCGCAGTATTGTTTATCTCTAACATATTCATATATATATATATATATATATATATATATATATATATTTAATTGTATTTCTGTATGTAAATAATTGTCTAATTTAATTTAAATTCTTTTCTTTTCTTTTCCTCATTTGTTTTCATTTTTCTATTTATTTTGGATTTTACGATTATTAAATAATTATCAACTTTTGTTTTTATTTTACATTAAATAAAATCATCAAATAATTAAAGAATATATAATAACTTGATAAGATTTCAATCTCACCAATAGGAGGGATACCTCAGTGGTGGATTGGGCAATTAATTTGTATTTGTATAATTTTTAATTTATATTTAAAATTAATTTAACATCTATAAACTGTTTTTTGGTCAAATAAATGTATTATTGTTTATGACAAATGATAACCGTGAACAAATAAATTTTGTATGTATAAATACACTAGGTACGAGTGATATTAGCCGTATGTTATGCGTATAAATATAAATTTATTTATTTCAATAGATTTTTGTAGACATTTTAGATGTGGAAATTAAATTTTTAATTCTTAATTCTACTAAGTCAATATGATATCCATTTGGTATTAGGTCGAGCTCGACCCGTAGTTTCATCCGTGTTGGACTCTTTCGTTCGGAGATGAGGAGAACGATTTTAAAGTTCCCCAGATATTTGGCGCAGCATAAATTTGCACACCCCTAGTCGAAAAAAAAAAATTAAATGAATAAATTCGAACGGAACCTCTACAGGACCTCTTTGGAACGCGACGGCCAACACTGTGCTAATATTATCGCCTTTGTCTGTAACGTATAGCGACATTGCGGTTTTCGTACTTTCCGCTGCGATTTATTAAATAGCGTGAGACTTAGGTTGGCTTCGGACCAGCAAGGGTCATTCACATACAAAAGTTACGGTGTAAAATACATGTTCGTAAGTTTAGGGGATTGGATACTGCTGCAGTTAATGGCTGTCTTTGCCCGTCGCACGTGTAACATAGTAATTTGAAATGGACGTGCTTTATTTGCACAACGTTCCAATGATTGGCGCTACAGATGCGGTAAACATTTGAAAATCATATTTATACTCGAAGCAGTCAGTTATACTCGAAATCATTTTTACCATATTTGTCTGGATATTATCTCTCCGTGTGTACTATCAAAATTAATTTGAAGAACGGAAACTCAAATGAAAAATTAATTTTTAATAACTTGTGCTGACTATTGGTTTAAAGACCAAACGTGTGTGAAAGCCGACGGGATGAATCAAATTGATCCTATTATTTTTTTATTTTTGTTATAATCAATAGATTCATAATGGGCGTACGGGAGAAAGCATTCACGTCCATAACGCACTTACTACGTTTCACGGGTTACACACCAGAGATAGCAATAGTGTTCCTATACGTGTTAAACGGAAAGTTTGTTAAGTCAACATGCGATTATGGCTTGTGAAATCAGTGTGAACACTGTAGGCATGTAGTATTAGTCTTTTGAATAATACGTGTTCCGTCGCATCGCCAAAAAAACGTATGCGTAACACGTACCCACACATCGCACCCGATTCGTAATAACTTCATAATATGTGGACTGACGTGTATTTACACTATTTTCCGCCGCTCTAGTAGTTTAAATATTACGTATTATTATCTCAACGGCATTACGAGTGGTTTTTTTTTTTTTTGTAATATCCATCACGTGCATCACACTAGAAGCGTATTGCTTAGTTTATTCACAGTCAGTACTATGTAGTTAGAGTAAATCTTAATTATATATTTGCTGAAGCCTTCGAGTTAAAATCATAATATTATAGCAGGTGATAACACTTAGGCATTGTGTGCGATACAAAAATAGGTTTCCGATAAGTCTTTAAAACCCAAAAACAAATTGTAGTGGTTCTAAATTAAAAACTTTGTGTTGAGTATTTTCGATTACGGCATGGTTACTAATCTTATTCATTACGATTCTTCAATATGGTTGAAAAAAAAATCAAATACCATCAAAACTACTTTAAGAAATGGCTAATAACAGCAGTCGGTAATTTACCGATCCGTCTGTACGACAAAACGTACATAATTCATTCGTTGCTCTCGAGTTCAGTATAACTGCGGGTTAGATAGATATCGAAGCAAGTAATTGAGTAGTGAGTAGAGTGTTACATGATAATCCGTCGACAAAAGATTGATCGAGGAGTGATTTTTGAACCTACAAATGATGACTGTTAGCGTAGTCTAGCCATCAAACTGAAATGCTATACATCCTCGATTACATTATTTGTGCATTTTGCGGTTTGTAGTTTATGTTTTTTTGAATTTTTCATCCTTCTAACTTTTAAAATCAATAGGGATCATTAACGTTGGTGACCTAAGAGGTGGGAATATAGGTACTACAGATTTACCATGGAAACATAGATATTAGTGTAAATTAAAAGCATAAAAAAAGAAAAACCTTGAATATGGTATGGTAACAAAACGAAGAGATGTTCCTTTATTTTGCAACTATTTACACTTAATAACCGGCTAATTACAGTTCAACATCGTTCTTCATGTAACATCGTAACTTTTTAATAAAATATATAAATACGTATTTCTACATCATCCCAAATGTTTTTTTCTTATGCAACAGATAATAATACCTGTATATGATCATCGACTATAGCTACGCTAATGCAATGAAAAAAAAGTCGAGAAATAAGTATCAATATTGATGATAAGAAAACTGATTATTAACAAAAAAAAAAAAAAAAATGATAAGAAAACTGATTATTAACAAAAAAAAAAAAAATCGAAAAAGTGTAGATCCGGAGTAAATGGAAAAAAAAATAATTTGTTTTATAGTTGAAAATCCGGTAAATTCCATATTTAAAATAAATTTTAGAATGAATTTTCAGATTCTAGAACAGAATTAATATTTTTGACTAGGTTTCAACCACTGCTCAAAACTTTCATGACAAAAATGCTCGGTTAAGGTACAGTTCTAACGCGAAGCCGGAAAAAAGTACAGTTATACGATAGTTTCTATAAATGTATTGATCAATACGTTTATAAAATATATTCTAAAAATATATTCGCAAATATTCTAATGTATCTATATTGATATAGATATATTAGAATATTTGGGCAATAGCGGTGCTTACTTATTTTGCGTTTTTACGAGATCCGATGAATGCAGCAACTGTTGTGACCTTCGACGACGATTTAATTTTTGTCTGCTATGTAAACAATCGTGTACGACAGAAAAGCGACCAGGACGAAATACAAAGAAAACAAATCAAATCAACACTAATCTGAACGATACGATATTTTATTGTTTTTACAACGTTTTAATTTTCTTATTGTTCTAAAATAACACAGCACTTAAATAAATACATCATACTAACTGGCTCATTTTGTTTTTATAATAATGTTTTTTTTTTTATTTTTTTACGATACTTTTACGTATACAATATAATAATAATAACATAATCATGCACGTAGGTATTTTGTAGGCATTGACGGCGTAAAAAAATGTTACAAGTTCTTATCATAATATTTAATAAGTTTAATTTTACGATCCGTTTTCCCACTCAAACGTTCAATAATAATAATAATAATAATAATAATAATAATAATAATAATGGCGATAATAATGATAATAACTATATGTACAATTCTATGCACGCCTTCTAAAGACGACTACGACGATTAAAACAATAATAATATCATAATAATAATAATATTTGGTAACGAGGATCGTATAATATATATCATATACGTATAGGATATATGTATAGTTTATTATAATAATGTTTGTAACAGCTACAATATTAATATAATAATAATAACATTTCATAATTAAAAAATTATTGCACAGTTATTAATATTATAATTATTATTACTATTATGACAAAATTATATTTAATAGTATTTTTATTTAAAGTTTAGTTTTGTTTCGCCTACACGTCTGAAAGGGTTATCGAACAAATTGGGACTAGATGAGGAATCGACACCGGGTTTCTTTGCGCATCGGAAAAGCTCGTGTGTTGGTTGTATACGTCTTAGTTAAAAACTGAAAAATAAAAACAAAAATCCGATTAGAAACATTGAAAATAGTAAACGAAAATATAAATTTCTAAAATATCTTCTAAAATGTTGAATGAGTGAACAATGAAAATAATAATAATGCAATTTGTGTAAAATTTAAAAGATTTATCATAGGTCTATTCACAGCAACGTTTTATTGATTCCCCTGCGAAACTAGTGAAATCAACTGTTTAAATTTATTGAAAATGAGCTGATAAGGTTTTTTTTTTATTTTCAAAATTGAATTTCATGTATTACAATCAAATACAAGTTAATAACTACAAGCAATAACACATAATTTACAACAATAGTTGGCTTTCCATTATATTTGATAGAAACCATTTTGTATGTAGCTTTAATAAGTTTTCTAGATATGGTACGCTATTTTCGTTATTTTTGTTTCGTTAATTGCAAATTTATAAAAATAGCAATGACTGGAAATAAAAACGAGTCAATAGTTAAATAGAGCATTACACCCAACTAGGTATTAACATGGTATGCGGTATCTATCAACTATTATAAGAGTTGACGATTTTTTTTTACATACTAAACCACCAAATTCCTATATTAATTCATGTTTGCAACTGCAGAATATCTTGTTTGAACCACTATTTATACTTTTTAAAACTAATAGTAGATGCGGTGTATACTTTGTACTAATTTGTATTCTTGTGTAGAATAAATTTCGAAACGTGCTTGGTTCCAGCAAAGGATATACGGTTAGGCGCTTATGAATGAATAATTTACACTTAAAAACCGTCGACTTTTATAAAAAACACGCCTTTAATTGTTCACAAACATTTGAATGCGATTCCAAAAACAACTGATATCGTCCCACAGCGATCACGGAATTGAATTTAACAACGTATTAAGTAACCACCAAAATATCATATAATCATATGATCTTAACTGTACGCAGGTATCGAACAATAAAAAAAAAAAAAAAAATTATCACGAGCGGTGTGTCCGATTCGACTAGGTAAGTAAAGCTGATATTTCGAAACTGACTCGAAAGTCAGTCAGACGCATTAGATACCTATGGGATTTCGTTAACGAAAAATCGTTATCGATGGAATAAATGGCGACCTGTCAGGAGGGCGAATATAAATTCCTACACGAGAGTAGCAGGTACAAAAAATATAATTAATATCGCATAGGGAATTTTTAAAAATAAATATAATATAATGTGATGATTAAAAAATATAATAAATAACGCATTGGGCATTTTCATAAATAAATAAAGGTCTGCGCGATATTAGCGTTGGGGTTTTGTTTTACTTATTTTTTCTACTAGTACTATATGCAAACTTATTATTAAATAGCGGACATTTTGTGATCAATCGTTTACCTTTGGCGGTCGCCGGTTTGTTTCGCTGACCTGGCGAGACAATGGGCTCCGGATACGGATGACGGAAAATTACGTCGAACGGCACGGAGACGACGCGCTTCATCACCTGGCCCACGTGGTCTGCTGGAGCGGCGTGAACGCGGAATCGAAGTTCGGCCTAGTCGATGGCTGCGGCGACCTGACGGCTGCGACCCGGTGGTGGTGATGGTGTTGATGGTGGTGCTCGTCATCGTCATCGTCCACGTCATCGTCCTGCTCGTGGCGGCCACCTGAACGGGTTGGTGAGGCGACGGTTGGCGGCGCGGGCGACGTTCTCTTGCCCATGATCGAGTCGATGCTGAACCCGGTGGACGGCTGCTTGACTGCCAACCGGCCACCGCCGGCCACCACGGTGGTCGCGTACAACGGTTGACTATGCTGGTGCACCTGTACCACAGGCGGCTGCTGGTGTTGCGGTTTAAACGCGGCGGCAGCGGCGGCTGCGGCCGCAGCCGCGGCCACTTGCCCGTTGTGCAGCAGGTTCAGGCCGAACGTGATGCGGGCCAGATCGGCAGCCGGCAGGGGCATCGGCATGGCGACGGGCGCGACGGCCGACGACGACGAAGTTGGTGGCGGTGGTGGTAGTGGTGGCGCGGCCTGCGGCTGTTGCTGCTGGGGCGGCAGCGGTGGTGGCGGTGGGGGCGGGCCCAGGTGATGATAAGGGTAGTGGTGGTGCAGGACCGAGTACGGGTCGGAGGCAGCTGCGACCGCTGCGAAGTGGTGATGGTTGTGGTGAGGATGGTGATGGTGGTGCGGGTGATGATCACCGCGGTGAATGAAGAAGTCGGAGGGTGTCTGCAGGCGCTTGTACCGCTTGCGTCGCCGCAAGAAGCTGCCGTTGTCGAACATGTCTTCGGCCATTGGGTCCAGCGTCCAGTAGTTGCCCTTTCCCGGGTTGCCGGGTTCCCGGGGGATCTTGATGAAACAGTCGTTCAGCGACAAGTTGTGCCGGATCGAGTTCTGCCACGCAGGGAACTTGTCCCGGTAGTACGGGAACCGGGACATGATGAACTCGCAGATGCCGCTCAGGGTGAGTTTCTTGTGGGGCGACTGCAGTATGGCCATGGTGATGAGTGCTATGTAACTGTACGGCGGTTTCACCGGCGACCCGTTGCCCCCGGAGCCCTTGTCACCACCACCGCCACCGCATTCGTCGCCGGCCGCGCCGGACGGAGATGTCTTGCCGGCCGCGGCGGCACCGGTACCGCCGCCGCCACCATCGTTGTTGTTGTCGGCCGCGGCCGCAGCGCCGGCGGTCATGTCGTCGTAGCAGTCGTCCTCGTCGTCCGCCGAGTCCACGTTCACGTCCGTCGTTTCGGCCGAGCCGACGCTGCACGGCGGCGAGCCGACCATCATGGGAACGGACGAGCCGCCCCTCAGGTCCAGCGGGCTGACCACCTGGTGCATGGCTGCCGAGTCCAGGGCCGCCTGGTATCGGCGGCTGAAGTCGTAGACGGGCAGGAAAACGGCGGCGGCGGCGGCTGCGGCCGCGGCCGCAGCGCTACCACCGCTGCTGCTGCTGCTGCTGTGGTCCTCCTGCATGCCGGCGGCGCCGATCACCACGCAGCACATTTGACAAGAGTTTCACACATAAAACACGGTGGTACGCGCGTCGGCGTGACGAGACGGTGACGGGAGCGCTTGCGAAACGAGACGACAATTTACGACCGATTGATGTTAAAACGCCCCGGGTATTTGTGACGCGAGGATCCCCGATAAACGGTTTGACGTGGCGAACAAGGGTGTTCGAAAAGCGACAAAAATAGGCGAAAAGAACTTGGTGCGAACCAGTCGTTCGAGATACGGTCGTTGCGGTGGTATCAGACGACGGGCGGGGTGCGCGTGCGATCGCAGGATCGGAGTTGACGAGTGGCGTGCGATATAATCACTGACGGTCGCGGCGGTGGCGACGACGACGACTACGACTACGACGGCAGTGGTGGTGGCGGCGGATGGGCGTGGCCACTCGGAACGCGATGGGTGGACGAGCGACCACCGAATGGGCGTGTGCGGTACAACGCAATCGGTCGCGCGATGCTCCGGGCGCGTTCGCTCATCCCTTGCGCCTGCGACCGAAAAAAATCCGCTGCCGCCGTACGATTGTGCTAACTAACCGGTAGCAACCTCAATGCGAATTGTTTAGGCTGCACACCCTCCCGTGTACCGTCACCGCGCCAACGTTATTTACATCCGCCATAGATTACAGTACAAACGCAAATAATTATACAATGCTCTCCCGTTCTCTTTTCCTCGCTCTCTCTCTGTCTCTCTGTCTATCTGTCTCTCTCTATCTGTCTCTCTCTCTCTGTCTCTCTCTCTCTCTCTCTCTCTCTCTCTCTCTCCGTCTTTCTTCGTACGCATAATATATATACGAGCTTGTACGATTCCATTCGCATACTTCGTCCGCCCCGCAGTAAACCTCAGCGCTTTGAAGTCTTAAAGTGTTCGTCGGCGCACGCCCGAACCGTTATCCGACTTACGGAGCGCTACGCGTCCCGCCGCAGTGTGCAGTAAACCCAAAGATAGAATATGATCGCTTTACTAATATAATGTAGAATAATAAATTACAGTAATATAATTTATATTTTAAAAAAATATACAGCTATATTCAACATACGGTGAACGTATGTAACAGGAAATTTAGATCAAAGGTGAAAACAACAAGTTATTCTCACCTTTACGCGTAATAGAGCACAAGTTATAATATCTATATATAATTTTTCATTGGAAGCCGTCGTATAAATACGAGAGCGATACCTAATGTAATCAGAAAAAAATATTACAGTTTGGTTCAGGCCCGTATTGACCCACCGGGCAACCGGGCAGATACACGATGCGCCCATGAAAATTACAATGCATGATTCGCTCATAAAAATTACCGCTACATTAAGATTTTGGAGAGATATCCATTGTACATTAATAACCCAATGATCTTCAGTAATACGTTATTGAAAAACGTTTATATTTTTGTGAAGACAAGCGTTAAACCTATAATATGATTCTTTAATTTGCAAATTATTGGGCCATATTAATCCTTCAGGGGATCTATATAGATCCCCTGAAGGATTAAATAACAAAAATTAAGGCGCCCTTAAATATTTTCGTAACCACCTCATAAGAGCAGCCAGTACGGGCCTGGTTTGGTTTACTATAGCTGCAATGTTTGCTTTCCTCCTGGCTCTGCTTAACGAAATCGACGTTCGGAGCGATACTGAATCGATAACGCTCCTGCGTTTAGCCGGAGGTGTCCAACACCGCGTTCGATCCCTCTACGGTCCATTCTCCCGCATCTTGCTCGCGCATTACCATACCGATAAATTGTATTTATAAACGGCTCGAAACACGCGTACAGTGTATGTGGAGCTTCGATAAATACTTATGTACGGGCTGGGTTTCTGCAAAACAATGATCCATCTCGTTGTTTTTTTTTTTTTTTTTTTTTATTTGACATATATTTCGAAACGCGTATATTCACGTGTACTACAAATACATTTATAATTTCTTAAAAATTGTTTGTATACCGTGGTTAGTATGCGTACTGAGGATAAACACGTTTCACTTCGATAACTCCGATCAGCCGGATGGCGTAAGTTCCGTTAATGCGAACGATTAATACGAGAACTGGATTACATGTTGAAATACGTCGACTAAACGTGTATGTTTATTATAATAGTATAATATTAACAGGACGAAAAAACGCTTGGGAAAATCTTGATTGTTAAGTTGCGAGAACTATATTGTTCTATCATAATTCGTTACATTTCGAATCAATTATTCAAATGAGATTTTAAACAATTTTTGTCGGTAATAATTTCAAAAACTTTTCAAACTTAATGGACTAATATTTTGCTTATGAACCTACGCATTAAATTTTTAACCAAACAATAGACAAAATTATTCTGTTTTTAAATCATTAGCGGCGGTCTAGTGAATAGCTTTAAATACGTTGTAGAATGATTTAATAAAATGTATATTACTGATACCAGAAATACAGTATGTATAGACACAGTAAAATAAAATGAAAGAGCTGCAGTTTCTTTGTTTACTTCGGGTACTGGATAAAGTATAAAGTTATTTTTTCTCGTTAACATATTACAATTAAATTGTTATGCGCATGTATATATCTACACCACGTGTGCTCAGTAGACGAAAAAAAATAAATATTATGAGTATAATATGCAGCTACTGTCATTATATATTCTGCGATAGTATTGTTCTACTGTACAGTTCATATTTACATTACACGAGTTTATAATATAATACGAGTATCTTTTATTTTAATTATTCATTTCATTGTTTTTTCATTTAAATTAAAACAACACTTTTGTACATACACACATAACTCACAAGTAAATTAACGTCTTTAGAGAAATGTAAAAACAATTTTTTTTCAGTCTACAAAAATTATAAATTTAAATATAAATAATTGGCTTTTTCTTCTTAATAACTGCAGTAGTATATATAAACAATGTGTATTATACATGTATATTCTGACTCAATAATTCTGATTCCTTCTAAAATTATCAAACAATACGTAATTATAATGTATAATCAATATTTATTTAACAGAATTAATTATGTACTTATGTTTTATACATCATTATACTTTGATCTTTACTATGAGCAAAGTTTTAAATACAAAAGAGTAAGTTGAGCATAGTTTAGTACAACTGTTTTCTTTAATACTTGTATTATAGTTACAAGGGAAATCAAATATAATAATTTGCAGCTGTTTAACGAACCAAAAAAATCATCAAATCAAAATATCATGTGATGAATATATATATATACCTAACATAAAAAAATGCTCCTTAGATTTTTTTTGCACACAAAACCATATTTATAGAAATAAATAATTTTTACTTGTATGTATTTATTTTATTAACGTGGTACACAAAAAATTATTTTCCTATGAAAAAAATAATAAAATACTTCTAACTACGTGTTAATTAAGCTTATAAATGTATATCTTAAAATGCTTAATAAATGTAATTATAAACATTTTGTTAGAAAATAGGTATATATAATAAACTCTAAAGAATTATCCCAAATTGAAACGAATTTAATAAAATATTTATATTTATTGTTATAACTTATGAATAAACACTATAAATCTAATTTATCAAAATAACGCACATATGGCATTATTAATACAATAATTTAAACTGTAAATATATTGCAGAGGAATAGGGGTGATAAATTGTTTGTATAATATGTTCATAATGGTTATTCTTCTGTATATTAATGGTCTTCCGACCATTTGCGGTGAGCCCTCCTAAATATATAAAATTACCCTTCACCCCTCTCAAATTCACACCAATACACTCCATTGGTATACACCATTGTTATATGATTCGACTTGTTATAAATGTCGGAGCTTAAGCCTCTAGATTTAATAATATTTAAATTGATTTCTAAGTATAATAATAACTAATAAAAATATTAATTTGATCTTTGGTTTTGGTATTATAATTTATATAAGAGTACATATTCTGTACGAATTTTAAATTAAAATGATATATTGATTGTTTTAACTGTTTCAAAGACATTCATAAATGTTGACCGCCCTAAACCCCTTATATGCTATATAATTCATTGTTATTGGAAATGAATATATTTTCTGGTCCCCGTATGTAATAAAGGTGATATGCAGAGACTAAATAGAGTGCGAAGCCGATTTTTAAGTTTTTCCAAGGTAACCGTGTAAATTTTGTTCATCCACCTTATGGTTTATGAATTACTAAAATCGTTATTCAAGCATAGTAAAATTTCGTTGTTGTTTCTGTGAATTCATCGAGGGACATAGGATGCACTCAATTTGTTAACACGACTCTGCGTCTGTTTTCTTGGTAATACTAGGCTTCAAGATTTATTCTTCCGGTATGGCTGGATTAATTTTACGACCAATGCTAAAGCCAGTGGCGTATTTTCAATTTTTTTTTTTTTTGGAAGAAAGGGGATAAAAAAGTTCTTCTAAAAAATAATCGATTTTGTAGTATAAAAAATATATACTTTATATCAATTAATAATTATATTATTATATTATTATTAAAAATACAAATGTAAATACATATTTACAACCAAATGATAAAATTAATATTCTCTTTCTCTGTACCTCGTAGCAAGTAAATTATGATTTTTGAACCTTTTTTCTTCTTCTGGGGGGTCATGAGCCAGTACTTCCCCATACACTCGAAAATACATACTTTGGATCATTAAAATACTATTTTTTAACTTAAAATACTTCGAATATCATAAGTTAGTAAAATAATTAATTAAATTACTATTTACATGGTAGTAAGTTAGCTATTCAGGTTATACATTAAGAACAACAATCAAATCATTAAAATTCTTAAATAATATAAAGTATAAAATAAAACAAGCGTGTTATATTCGGTACGTCAATAATATGTAAAAATACAAACTCGGTCGAGAAAACACTTCAATATCAATTAGAAGTATTAATGTAGTGTAAATCTACAATTTTATCGCAGGAGTATGAATATAAAATCGAAAATACTTATTGACAATGTTTAAATAAACGGGAATAACACAAAATTATTTATTTTAAAACAAAATCAAGAATTTATTATTTCAAAAAGCATTCAAAAATAACTACTAAATCTGTCGATTTGTATATAAATCGTTGCTATTAAAATAAATTACAGCGATTCACATGGACATATTTTAAACTAATTTTAAATTAATGTTATTCTTTATATTATATTTAACATTACTTATGCACGTGTAATATTAAACGCCCAAGTATATTTTATTGTTTGTATATTATTTATATATAAAATAATTGTAAAATAAACATGTGTATATGCATGCGTATCGTGGCAAAATATACATTTAAAATATACCCTACAAAACATTGTACACGATTTACAGTGTAACGTATAATATTTATAGTTGTATACTTTTGTTCATCAATATTATGTAAAATTATTTTCACGATAAACGTTATTGGCAATATTG